ATACTATTTTTATCGATTTGTTGTTTTTATTATTATTTTTGAAGATTTTCATATTTTCTATTATTTTTAAAAGATTCATTAATTACAGAATTATTGAAAATAATTACAATACTATAATTCTATAATTAAAATAGATAAATATTTTTGCATTTAAATAAACAAATTAGAATAATATTAATAAAGATATTAATATTCAAAGTTGATGTATGAAAAATTGCAAAAAATAAATGAATTGTAAGATAATACCTATTTGCATGCAGATAATAAATATATATATAATTGTATTAGAAAAAGAAAAGATTCAAAAATGATTTGTAACTTTAGTTTATTACTATGAAAATTATTAATTTATTTATCAAAATTCTTTACTATTTGAAATAGATTTGATTCATCTTGATGATATCTCTATAAAGAATTTTATTATTATCATTATTAAAATTTTGATTAAATTCAAACTAATAGTGAATTATAATATTATATTTTGATGTTACTGCTCTTTTTATAACAGATCTTGTAAAGTTATTTATTTTGATGTGATAATAATCCCAATTGTATTTATAGAGTATCATGATAAAACTTCTAAAAAATTAAATTTAAAATTATTATAAAAATATTTTAAACAATAAATTATATTTATCTTCCATATCACAAATTATATCAGCACCAACTCTTTGTGTTCAATTTTTACAATTTGGATTTTTATAATTTCATCATTAATATCTTAATAAATTATAAATTTCTCATTCAAATTCTTGTTCTCGTTAGAAGAAGTGATAATAGTAATCATATTTAATGATTTAATTATTAAAATAAAGAAAATCTTATTAATTTTTCCTCGCATAATTGTTAATTTTACACATGATTGTAAAAATAATTTTTTAAATCATATGAGGTTCATATGTGCAGATCGCATAATTGATACACTTGCCCATAACGATGCATGCTCGCCATATATAACGAGAATGCTGTTTTTCTTTATTTTGCTATGGGAAAATATATGAAAATTTGCAGATATATAGTTTCATATATTGTGATCAAGTTAACTTAAGACTACTTTATAGAATAACTTATTGTAATTATCTGATCGAATCCTGATAGTACACTTGAAATGAAACAAAGCAATTAATCTAAATGGTAGTTTTTTTTATTACATCATGAAAATTGATCGAAAACATATAAAAATTTAAATATATACTTTGATATATTGCAAACAAGTTTTCTTAAGGCAACTTAGTAGCTTAAAATATTAAAAAAAGCCAAAAAAAATTTTTTTTAATTAAATTTATAGCATTATATCAAAATTAAGATCAAATATTTGAGAATAATAGAATTAAGATATGTTATTAAGTAGTCTTGAGAAAACCTGTTCGCAATATATTAAAGTATATATCTGTAAATTTCAAGCATTTTTTATAATGCAAAAATAAAAATAGGCATATTTTTCTCATTATATATGGCGAGCACAAATTTGCTGATCATTAACATTAAACTTGGGCACTTTTAATATGACTTGAACAAATTACGTGAATCTTTATCATATGAACGTGATTTTCTTGGTTGGCATTTATTACAATTCAGGCCGGCACTATGCTAATGCTAAATTATCATAGTGCCAGTTATAGTTGGGCACCTAAAACCATCGAGAGATCCACCAAATTGGTTTTCAACGAAATTAACGTTAAAGCACAGCCCTCCGTTGTTAGCGTTAGTGTATATAGAATCTTCTAATATACTAATACCGATATAGTATCGTTGTCTACACAAATATTAGATGTGGTAGAAGTCGCCTAACGTTAATACGTGCAGATTCTATTGAATTTATATTGTTTACCATAGGATTTGCACGTCGGTATATCAAAAGTTGACTGTACTCATGTGATAACATACGTTTTATATCCAATATTAATTGCTTTGAAAGTTTTTAAAAATCTGATCCAAGCCAGCCGTTTAAGCCACAGCAAAGAAACCAAAGCCATTGAATTTAATAACTCGCAGCGCATAATAAATGTACATGTATCATATTTCGTAAGCGGTCGATTGATGCATTTGTGAGACTTTTTCTTGCATACGTATATTTATTCCAATAATTTTGAATAGTTTCGCCCTCAACCTGTGCTTTGAATTTAACAATCATACAAAAATATTTCATTCCGCAATTTTGAAGGTTTAATCCTAAATTTTAAAATCAGTTCCCTTTCGTCATGTGGAAACTTGAAACCGTGCGTCGAGGAATGCATGTTTTAAAAATAGATGATAACGTTGCTCATATAAACGATTGGATAACACGAACCGCGGTTCCTACTTCGGTATTTGAAGCGACAATACTTCCACTTTTTATTTCTCTCGTCTGGATATTTCTCTACAAAAAAAAGAGTAGAATCAATGGTAGTGAGTTCAGAAAGTATATGGAAATCACACATGGATCTTTAGTTGGTTTTTTCTCTGACCTTCACTCCATGCGCGAAAGATTATCTAAGGGCACATTTACATTTTTTTTCCTATTATTCGCGGCGACTGTTTTTGGGAAACAGATACCAAATGTTATGCTTTCTAAAAGCATTGGATTATACAATTTTACTGATGTTACGTTTGATATTATGTTCTTATTTAAAAACGATTCAAACTGTATGTATACATCATGTGCTGCTTCTCAATTCAAGGACAACTTCGCATTGGTATTGAATCCTGCCGATATACAAAATAAACTGCATAATGATAGTATACATAGCACGAACTGGGATTTAGGAAATACCAATATTTTGTATGCTGTACGTGCCAAAACTGATGTCGCATCCTGTATAGCGAGGCTTGGCACGGCAACACTCTGTTATCCGGAGAATGAAATAGCTAGTGATAATCTAGGAAATAAAACAAATAACCTCATACATACAGGAGTTTATACGAGTGTTTATAGTTCTGGTAATATGAGATATGTAATACTAGAATCTTTTCCGTCAAGTTTGTCTGTATCTACCACAATAGTAGATAGATGTGACCTATCTATGAATATGCTTTATATTTCCCCTAACTTTTCTTCTGATGTTGTAAGGATGGCTAAATGGTTAAACAATAGTGGTTATTATAAAGATCCGTGGAAAGCTTCTCGACACTGTCAAATAACACTTTCTTGCGATGTATCTTGGGAGTGGAAAAAGATGCGAATATCTGGAAATACGCCAGATACAACAGAAATACTGGAAGTGAACTTTAATAATAGTGTAAATGAATTGGCCAATTTATTTTATACCACCGTGCGAGACAGAGGAAGAGATGTAGGCGAAATTATTGGAAGAAGTTTAATTGATAATATCTCCGATAAAATGTTTACAATTATTTCAAAATGGAGAAGTGATATCCGAAATAAAGGAAGCCGATACAGTTTCAATTTTCTAGATGAATATGATATTGTGCTGTCTCAATCACTGGCATCGTCTGTACAATCTATGATGAACAATGTCAGCGTTTCTGTTGTCAAAATGGTGCAACGAGAAGCTGTGGGACTCTGGGTAGAGCTTGCTGTAGTAACATCTGTGATATTTTTGACTTCTTTGACTTCTTTGATTCTGTTGCACATCTGCAGAAGAAAAAATGAAACAATTTGGTTATCACTTAGCTTGTTGGATATTAAAGTTATATCTAATACTATCTTTAAAGAGGAAAATGATGATGGTACTTTTAATGAAAAAACTTCATGGCCATTTAATTTAGATAATACATCTAAACTTGTTACAGCAAATGGAATTGAAGTGACTATCACTAAATGAAATTGAATTTTTGATGCTTTACTTCCAACAATAATATACTTACTACTCAAATTTTATTTTATTTTATTTCATTTTCCAATTTCACATCAATTCCAAATTTTATTTCTGAATCATATATTTCAAATTTTTATTTCATATTTTAATTTTAATTTTCAAAAAATTGAATTATTATATTATTACAGGAGAATGAACGTTCATTGTTTTTAAATTTTCAGATAGTTCTTCGTTCAGATAAGCACCATGCGCTACTCATGATATCTGATTGTTAAATAGATATTTATTAAACTTAAAACAAAGTTTTAGTTTGGCCATTATCATTATTCTAGCAAAACAAAACCACTACATTATCGTTATTGATGGTGAAAATTCTCTGCATTGAATACGGATACACATAAAAATACAGCAAATTTTCACTTTAATTGAAATTATAAAAAAATCAAAGACCCATAGATTTGGGCTGAAACCTAAGGGTACAGGTTAATGCATTACTTGCTGTGCACAGCGAAAGTATCCATCATAGAAAAATCGCGTAATTTATTAAATGTCATTTGACTTATAATAATAATATAATACTTTTTATAAACTCTTCTTATTAAATCTAAAACTTTAACGATGATAATTATAAAAATGATCTACGCGAAATTCTAAACAATGTACGTATAACGCTAATAACGATAATTAAAAAGTAACAATTTTTTTAAAATTTTAAATTTGATCATAACGATAATGACCTTGCACGTTTTTCAGTTTGTAGAATTTGCTCTAAATCAAATACCCAATATAGTAAAAGATTGGTTAGGTAGGAATGCATCACTTTTGTTTGATGCTTGAGCACGCATACAAAGGTTACAATTATAGCAAGCACCAAAAAATCCAATTTTAGTAAATGTATCAAATGTTTTTCGTTATCACAGATAAATTTATGGTAAATGGTAATCATAAATTCGAATGGATCCCTTTTGAAAGATTTACAATGTTGAGTATCTTGCAAATGGAGGTTTCGGATCAATTTTATAAAGCAACCTGGTTGGACGGACCATTGTATTATGGCAAGTGGGATCATGAAGAAAATAAATTCAAGCGACACAGAGAACGCAAAGTTGTGTTGAAATCATTACACTATTCAAAGTAAATTACATCCGAGTTTATAACCGAGGGAAATGAACACCTTTAAGTGTAAGCATTGCTTTTTTGTTTTTCAATACAATTCACTTTTCAAAATTAGATTCAAACCTCTCTTAAATGCACCAATATCTATTTAAATACATGTATTCTGGAATAACTAAAAACCCAGCTACAAATGAATACTCGATAGTGAATGAATGTATCGATTGTCAAATGTCGAATTACTGCCGTGAATGCATCGATTATCACTATCAACTTTATAAAATTGAATGGTCTAACGAGAATAAAGATATCGATAGTCTAACAAAAGAATTAACGGTCATTAATACGCGTTTCCAATGGATCCCTTTTGAACGATTTACCAATGTTGAATATCTTCCAACAGGAAGAATT